GTATTTCTTTTATTTAATATAAGATTAGAGATAAAAATATAATCAACAAGATACAATTTTTTATGAAAACAAAAATATGTTTCTAAAGAAAATTATTTTATTAAATCTAAAAATGATATAAAAATTTAAAAGTTTTAAAATTTGCAAAATAAATTTTTATCATTTTCTACAATTTATTACTAAGAATGCTTTCAATTATTCTTACTTCTATGAATTTATCTTTTATATATTTATTATTTATGCTATTATGAGATAATTTTTTATGAAATCTATCTATAGCAAAATTTATATAAAATATTATTTAAAATATTAGATATTTATATCAACGATATATGACGCGATGTGAGGGAGATACGAGAGGGGCGAGAATTAATGCGGAAAGCGCATTACACAGGGCGTGCGACTGACAAGACAAGAGTGTCGAATTACGGCGAAATCTTTAAACGGCGGTGGATCAAAAGACGCGCCTAGTAGGATAGCAATTAGTTTCATTAGTAACGTGGTAATTAGCTCCGCGGAGATGCTTAGGCAAGAGTTGCGAGACGCCCATTCTCATCCAGCTCTAAGGATCCTGCCAAATCTCGCCCTCGGGGGACCGAATTTTCCCTCGCGAAATAAAGCCGGCATAGAATATCGCAAACTTGGGGAGAGAGGGGGATGTTGCTGCCCCCGTTTTGCTTTTAACTCTTTTGCAATAATGAGACAAAATCAACATTAACGTTTCTCCGACGAGAGTTTCTCAGAAAATTATTTCAAGACAAGATTTTAATATGTCATCTCTTGCGAGGAAAGACTTCTTTGCATCATCTCTGACGAATCGTGATTTTGAATAATTTGTCGGTACCTTTATTTCGATACTTGTGATGTAATTAGTGTAATGCAAGTTTTGAATTTTTTATGAATCTCTCAAACTTTTTCGAGAGATCTTGAAAATATCGAATTTAGCATTTATCACCAAGATAAATTATTTGTTGATACAGTATCAAGACGCGAAGCGTTTTCATCTTTACAGAAAATAAAAATCATAATATCCTGGCTTCTCTTGCGATAAGTGTAAAAAAATGAACAGCTAATATTAATTGCAAAAGATTCTCTATGTGATACATGTTATCGAGAAGAATTCTGTCGGAGCTCTGATAACGAAGGCTCGGCTAATAACAGACAACAACTGGGTCCGGTGATAGCGATGAAAAAAATAAGGGGCGGGAAAAATGAAAGGGAAGAAAAAGGCCGATCGCCAGCCTGCGAGATGCCGCCCCTTTCATGCATAAATCAGGCAACATGGCGGGAACGAGCGAGTTCTACGTCGAAGCAGCTGAGATGGGTAATCTCGTCGCGCTTCTCCTCAGCGACTCTTTCTCTCTCTATTTTTCTCTCTCATTGAAATTCTACGCTAAATTTCAATCCGCGCCGAACAAAAGCCGTCGTATCTGGCCCTCCCCCCTTTTCAGCCGTCACCCCCTTGTTTCATCTCATCGAAACCTTTCAACGTCGCCGGACAATAAATACTTGAACCGCGAGAGCGTCAAGGAAGCGTACGAAAATCATGTAAAAAGAATCGAGCCCTTTTTGGAAGCATGTGAGGGTGGTAGAAAGAAAAAGAGCACTCGTTGCCTTAAAAAAGACGGTCCTTATCGCGCCATCTTTATTTATCTCTTAGATATTTTTTTTATATCAAAAAATACTTTTTTTTTAAATATAATTAATTACTTTTTCAGATGACTATATCGTTATTATACGATAATGACTAATGTGTAACATGTTATTATTATTATCAATTATATATATCTTTATATACTAATGTTATCAAGACTTAAAATCTCTGTTTTTTTTTTCAAGATTGTCTCAACTTTCGATATAATAAAGCGCGAAATAAAACGTGCTTTGAACGGCTTGTGGCTTTAATAGATGCCGTGAAAAGAAGGATAAGAAAGCTTTCTCGTTCTTTTCTTGTCTATCGCGAACGTTGAAAATCTAACGTCGCTTTTCCCAAGTTTAATTAGGTATACCCTATGTATCCATTTTATCCGTGTATACAAACCGATACCATAGCGTTCGATATTGGAGGGAAACGGACGTTAGGGATGCATCGCAAATAGGAGAGAGGCGAGAGGGCCTTAAAAGGACTTCAGGCAGACGAAAAGAAAGATAGAGAAGAAGAGACATCATAGACATACAGGGTGTATATAAAACTATCATTTCTTTCAGTTTCAAATTAAAATACATGATCAATTTAAAAGCTCTGAAGCTTGTTCAAAAATTGTTCAACAAATATATATTCAAAGTTCTTTTTCGAGGAAAAATTAATGACGATTAAAATTCCAAGACTCCAAGATTGCGATGCAAGCGATTCAAAATTTTCATTCATCTGAGATATAAAATTATAATAAAATTTTACATATTATTATTAAATATCAATAATTATGCCTAATTATTTATAATATTAAATTGTCTACAAGTGCAATTTTGCATCATTTACAAATGATTTCAAATACACATGTAAAATTTCACAAAAATCTTATGCCAATCTCGAACAGATGAAAATTCCAAATTTTCCTTTGATTTTAATTCACGAATCCTAGGGATAGATAATTCGATAAGTTTATATCAATTTGTCGTTCAAATATTTAGAACTCGATATATAAATTTGAATATTCAACTTGGCAAGTTTATTCAAGATCCCGCGAGGAGTCTCCGGTTCCGGGACACACTGTATATACGCATACGTTGGTCCAGACGTCGTATGCGCTCGGAGAGAGGAGAGAAAACGGAGGAAGATGAGGATTGCGGAAATGGACCGTTGCCTGGAGCTCGAGTCCTATGTCCGCGATATAGCGGAGTCTCTCGAAGCGTCGAATCGAGATGGGACAGAGGAGGGAGGGGGAGGGAAAGGGCCCGACTTTTGTACACGTCGGATTGAAATTTAGCGTGGGATTTCAATGAGCCGTCGAAGTAAGCGAGATTACCTTCCGTCAACTGATACTTTTCGACGTATTTCGACGTTTCGCGAGGACGCATCGATCTTCCTCTTGCTTCTTTCTCTCCGTCTCTCTCGCTCTTTTTTTTTTTCTCTTTTTTCGAGTTTTCGGTAGCGTCTCCGTTTCTGCGCGAAGCCGCGTTCAATCAGCGGGAGAATCCGATGGATTTGTTGTTTCCGAAAGTTCAGATCAGAACTCACTCGTCGCCGCTTAATTCGGCAGAAAACTCGGTCGCTCTCGCGAGAGGAGCAACCCCGCGATTTTTCCCGAATAATAAGAATAATAAGAATATCCGAATCAACGACCCGATCCGCGTTGTGCTCCGAAGCTTCTTGTACTCTGACGAAATTTGCAATTAAGCTGTTTCATCGAAAATAAAAATAAAATCGTAATACGAGCATAGGAATATTTAAGGAAATTTATTTACGAATCTTCATCGTCTTTGACTATTAACTTCTATTTTAGTAGATTCTTAACGCGTGGTATTTGAAGCTTATCGAGAGAAACGGCATCTTCAAATATCGTTTTGAAATTTGCATAATCGAATGTGCAATATTTGGAATTGGATATGAACAAAATTCTCTCTGATTTCTATCTTTTTAATTAGATGAGCGAATGAAAATATTAGTTGAAGAGCAAAATGTCGCAGACATGAAATGCATATCGAGTTCCATAAATACTCTATAAATTCAATCACGATGGATTGCTTTAAAAATCTATCGCAAGTCTCGTCAATTAATCTACCAAATCGATCGGTTCGAAGTATCGTAATCGAAAGAAAGAGAGAGGGGAGGAGAAGGAGAAAGAGAGAGAGAGAGAAACGCGTTTTCTTCACGAATTTATTCAAAATTCACGTCTGTTAGCTCTTGAGAATCTCCGCGAGAGACTTCGATTAGGATTGCATATTATTCAACAATCCACTAGAACGGATTAGATCGATATAAAGCGAGGGGCCGATTAATTAATTCAATTGCGCCGGATAAGGCGAACTATTCGTCATTTAATCATCGAGACATCTGTTTCGGCTGCAAGTCGAATTTCGGATCGCGATCTCTATACCTTCCGTCTTTCGATCGAATTACAAAGGAAGTCGAATGTAAAATTTAAATTCTGATTTAAGCTCATGTAAACGTGACGATGACTTCCTAGAAAACGCTCGTTCGAGGAAAAAGCAAAGAGGATAAAAGTGATAAATTAACGAAAAATGATAGACATCGCGTTATCGGGACTTGGGAGATTTTATTTGAGAAAATTTAAATCGGATGTATAGATAATTAATTTAAGCGCTTTATACGCGAGCTAATTTAATGTTCTCTCGATATATGATTTCGAGGAAACTCGGTAGCGAAGATGCTTATAATAAATTTAAGAAGCGCTCTGAAACGCTGCGATATTATTGTAGATACGCCGAATAACATCGCGAGAAATCACCGAAATATTCTAGCTTTCCCGCTTTACTCTTTGTACATGATAACGTATTCCCGCAAACAAGTTTAACGCTAACACTATTATGGCAATGCTCGAAAAACCGCGGATCGACATCCAAATTGATGGAATCTATCAATCCCGACACGCCGAGTAAGAGAGCTCTTTAAAGTCTCATGTCGAACAGCTGCCGTCATTATTAATTTTGTTCGGTTCAATGACGGAAATTCGTGACCTAATTTGTACTTGAGAATTATTAAAGGATTATAGGAAGAAGCTTGCATTATTCTTTTTCGTTAAATTGAAAAATACGAAAGAAACGTTAAAAGTACGTTTTAAATTAATTTCACTCGAACGTTTCGTCCAACGAGCGAAATTATAAAAATATTCAAAGTGAGATAATTGAATAATAAGAATATGAATGATAAGAAGAATTGATACATCTTGTCTATTGTGTTATCGATCGAAGATTGTTTAATATCAAGCATACGGAAAGAAACGAAGAGAATAGCGGAAAGAAACAGTGTCGCGGATTAAAGAGAGCGAAAAAAGGAAGAAGGATATAATTACTATTATTAATGATGAATTTTATATTACCATAGGAGTTGTGAAACTGCGGATGGTGCGAGTCGATCCCGGTTCCTGGGTGATGCATGTCCAGCATAGCGTCCGGCTCGCCTCCGCTCTCAGAGCAGTTGCTCAGGGCTAAAACCAAACCGATAGACACACACCTTGCGTTTACACTTGTCATCAGTCTTACAGTATCGTCGACAACCACTTAGCCCGCGTTTATAATTTCTTTCTCTGTTTGTTGCTCCTGAGATCCCGTCCCGTCCCGTTTTATCCCTTCCTTCTCTCGCTCGCGTTTGCAAGTTTTCAATTAGACACGACGATCGGGGTAATTCTAATTATCAACGAAACAATCTCTCTGTGAAAAATTTCACTTTGAGCATAAAAAAGATAGAATAAAATAGAATGAGCATTTCAGATGAAATCCGAAAATCTGATAATCTCTTTCTTGGCTACGGAATGAATCCAAAGATTCGTGGATTCGAAATTCAAAACTCGAAGAAACCAAGAATTTCAAACATTCAAACATCTAGAAATATAGATGGTCCCTCTCAAAACGGAGGTCTCTTATTTAAGCATCTGTTTGGAGAACTTTCGAATTTAACATGAATTAATTTGAATTATTTATTACAAAAGATGTGTTTGCATCTTGCGAGCCAGAAAAGGAACGGTGCATAAAAAAAATTAATTCGGACGACGATCGAAAAAATATGATATCGTTCCCGAAATAACAAGAATCCGGCGCTGTATTTCGTTAAGATTGAACCCATGTGTGTACCTCCTTTTCTTTTTGCACAATGGAACAAAAAAGACAAGATCACAAAACGGAAAAGCACACACATTTCAAGAAAGAAATCATACAACATAAGACAGGGCATCTCACATTGACTTAAGATTCATGTAACTTATGATAAAACTAAAGTAAAACTAAAATGTAATTAACGGTGACGGTATCTTTGTCGAGCCGATCAATCATGTTTGTTGACATATCGAAGAAATCAAGAATATTAGATAACGCGTAGAAAATTTGAAACATTTTAATCTTTTTTTTTTTTTTTTTTTTTTCCAGAAAAATATATAAATTTTCAATATATGCATAAAAAATAACTTATTATTTTTTATAAATTTATAAATTATTATTCCGACATCTATGCTATATATAAACTAAAGAATGCAGCAAATTTTTCTGAAACGTCTATTAAAATGTGCTTTCTTAAATTCGCATTGAATCCATGCATCGTTAATAAAATAGTAATCGAATAATATCAACTCGACCGTCAAAGATATCGCCACGTCAAGCTCTACGAATTTCAAGCGCTTGAGTATCACAAAAAAATATTTGTTGGGAAGAACGGGATATAAAGGATATATACTAGTAATTTAGGATCGTAGGTTTTTGTCCCTAAGAAAATAGAAAACGAAAAAATAGGGGAAAATCAATTAAATCCAGCGTTCAATCACAGCGAAATATACATACAGGATGCGAGAAAAGTTCCCGTGCGCCCGTAAAAGCACATTTTTGCAGAAACAACATGCATTATAAAATCAAAAAATTTCTTAAAGATATGAAAAATTCCAATTATTAATTATATCAGATATCTCATTTCACACAAGAAATATTAAAACTGAAGAAGATCCGAATATTGTGTCTATCAATTAAATAATATAATTTCAATTTTGACATAATGTTCTTTCCAGGAAGCCAGAACGATGGATTTCTCTCCTTTTTTTATTTTTTTGCTATAAATTGATTTTTTTCAATTTTATTATAAATTTTTTATGATTTATTAATTTCTCATCAATTTAATAAGAGTCTTAATTCTTATTAGATTACTCTTTCTCATTTTTCCCATTTCTCAATTTCTTATTAAATTATGATTTTACTTATTTGTAAGAAAATTGATATATATATATATATATATATATATATATATATATTCTTTCAACAGTAGCAGACTCATTTTGCAATTAATGGCTTGATTAATCGTAGATTATAATGCGAGTGGGAACAATCCTGCGTCCTGCGAGGCGCGTGATTTTTCGTTTGGTCGGTGGCCGAATCTTGAAATCGGATATATAAGAAAATCGGTAAAAGAAAATTCCTCGTAGAGTCCTTCGTGGTGCGTTTGTCTATCCGTTTGGTTCGAAGATCGAAACATTTGCATTTGCGGGAACCGTTCGATTCCCTCGACAGAGATCGAAAGGCAATACTCCGAGATTCAGGTGGTTCGTATCTTCCTTTGTTGCGTGATGTTGCGCCGACGATTATCTTCGGACGATGAAAAAGGATTGTTTGCAAAATTATACAGGTTGGATCGTGGAAACGAGGAAGGCCGCACAGAATCGAAATGAAGAACGAGGCACAATCGCGATATGCAATTATCAAAGTGTCATTTCTCTTATTGACTCTTCGTAAATAAACCTAGGAAGGTTTGCAAAAAAACTTTGCGAAGAAACTTTTTGCAAAGAGAAATGCATTCTGGAATCTGAGATCTAAAATACAAGAGAAATTGAATGAAAGGGCACTTTTTTCTCCCAGTTTTCCCATGCTTTTCATTCACAGTCTTTACAATCATTTAATTATAATCTTGATTGATGTCTAACGAGAAATAATTCAGCGCGCTGATTTTGGGAGATCTTATTTTGGCCGCGAAATACTATTTGGATAAAGTATTATAATATTTATTTGACGGGAATTTTAATCGCAATGTACCTGTGGTATTAAAATTCTTCAAAAATTCAAATAAAATACTCTTTTTCTCGACTCGAAAGCGATGTAGACTCTATGTTATATATCATTCTGCTCTCGGTATATTACGTATTGATGTTTGATTAGCCAACATTTATTTTCGTCGGTTTCGATTCAGATTCTAGTATTTAATACTAATAATTAATTAATGATATATCCTTTAACATGCCATAAAGACACGTATAAAATATAAATCAGTGGAAATGTTGGAGTAGCTAATACTTAATCACCCTTTCTTTATCTTATATTAATATTTTTTTTTCCTCCACTAACTTATTAATCTCTCCCTCTGATCAATATTTTAATTTTTAAACAATTTTAAAGTTATCATTTGATTGCATGTCACAATAATTAAAGTTGAATTTCCGCAAAGAGAAAGTATAGAAAATTGAGAATGAGACTGTCGGACGCTTCTCGAGGATTTTACCTCGTGGCATAGTTTGATCCCGAATCTTCTTTTCTCACGGGGTTCCCTTCTCCCTACTATTTCGTACCATCCTGTATGTACGCGGGACACGTACGTAACAGTTGCGACAACGGTGTGTATGCGTCGTACAACGGGAAAAGCCGGTTCCCACTGAACACTCCGTTACTACGTGATGAACAAGGGTTCTAGAAGAAAGAGAGAGTTCCCCACTCAGGGGTGAGAACGGGGAGAAAGAGAAAGAGAGACTTTGCGTGGCGTGCCTTGTGTGTGCGGCCTACATACATATATAGGGTGTCTCAGATATACTATTTTTTAATCTCGGGAGATTTTTATTTGATTAAAAATAAAGACATTTAGAGACACTGTAAAAATGGAGAATTTAATTAACCTTGAGATAGCGAAATAATGGAGAATAAAAATAAAATATTAATTAATCTTTTTCCAGATTTTGATTTTAGTTAAATTTTATAAAGTTTTGTTGCGGATATTTAGTCAAAAATTAAAAGTACGCGAATTTAATGAATACTTTTGCGCTGCGAAAAGATCGCTCATCGAATTTAGCAGCGCAAAATAGTTTGGGCACCTTGTATATGCATGCGTGACGTAGTGGATGAGTCAGCTGGTGGAAGGAGTACTCGTGAAATTTGTCAGGAAACTTTCTGGAAATATATACGCCAAAAAGCAGGATGTGCTACTTTCAGAGCCACGATAATAGTCAAACGATTATCAATATTTGATTGTCACACGGCAGGAGTTCTATAAACGTTTCCGTCTTTAAATCCTTGAACAAAGACGTTTAGATATTTAAGAATATAGATATTCGAATCTGTTAATACTTCTCGAATTTTGAATATATACATATAACATCTTGATTAGTAATTTTTAAATAAATAAAAACATGACACACTTTTTTAGTTTGAATTTTTTAAATTAATTTCTTACATATTATTTAATATTTTTTTAAATATGTAGGTGTTATGAGAAAAACGCCTGTTCAATTATTATTGTAATAAAATGATACAATATTATTTATATGAAGCAAAACATGTTTTCCAAGATTTTACATCAAGAATTCAGAAACTTATTTTCAAGCTAACATTGAAAGTGTTAAGTTTATAATATAAAAAATAACATAAAAAATAAAAAGTTCCAAGTAATTTCTGAGAAAAAAAAAGAATCTTGTTCATTAAGTTGGAAAATTAAAACTTTAGAAATATAAATTCTTCAATAAACTTCGCTAAATTCGCGGATGATAAAAATGTTCGCCCGTATGTATGACGATGTCGGTGCGATTAAGAGGTGTCGTTCCAAGAGAATATTGCTTATCACAAAACATACCACACACACACAATATCGCCTTTCGTTTATCAGTGATCTGCTTGAAACTCAACTCGATCCATCCACGAGCGGCTCTCTATCGAATTCTCTGGCGACGCAATAGCGAGCTAAACATCCTCGAATGTAAAGTACGCGACGCATGTAAAAACCATGTTTCACAGTCACACACACAGTCACAAAACCTACTTTTATGAGTCGTCGCGGACATTTTAAACGCGATGCGGGCGATCTTGTCCCATTTCACAACGTTACGCGCGTCTGTTGAATTTTGCGGACGCATCCTTTTCGAGCGAATTGAATTATTGCATCTCGCGTCTGCTATAGAATTTTTCGAATCGAGTTTAATTCGACTACGCGCGTGGCTCTTGATATAACAGCCATTGTGACTTTGCTTACTATGGAGATCTTACTTACATTTCGATATTTCTATCAACTTTCAAAGATACGAAACCATTATTTATCATTGATATGTATGAGAGAAAAGTGATATATTTTATAAATATTAGAAAAGGTATTCGCTTTTTGATTGTTATATCTTCGAAAGCAATAAAAATATTAAATAAAACATGTATCCATTAAAATGTGTCACCCCATGTATTCTTAACAGCAACGTTAAACACA